TTTGGGTGAAGCTTTGCATGACAGCGCCCAGTTGTCAGTTGAATTAACGCAGCACCATAACACAAAAATGACCTGGTCAGGAAGGGGGGTAAATCCTCTGGAGGGCAAGTGGTTAATAATAATAATTTTTATTCTTAGTAACTACGGCTTTTTGAATCACTTTAGGGCCCATTCATACCAGAATGCGATGCAGGAAACCCGCATTCTAAGTGCGTTTTGCACATTGTGTTAAAAAGGCAATGTAATTGCTATCTGCAGTGGGTGTCACTATTAAGTTAATGACGCCCCAACCGCAGTGCATTTGACTGCACCAGATTGCATGGTACAAAGGTAACGTGTGATCCAGTTGCAGTGAGTTTACAGAAGTAGCGCATGCACTATGTTTGGCGCCATGCAGTTCAATTTGAGCCTGTTGAAAATGATGTGAACTGGCTCTGAGGAAAAACAAAAAAAAAAAACTCACCAATGTGGATGCAGCATCAATCCAATGCTACATCTGTCCCCTGCTACCTCTAAAACTGAGAACAGAGCAATCAAAGGCTGCTGATTGCTCAGTTCTTGGTCTTCTATAAGCAGAGAGTGGTAATTGTCAGTCACCGGCTCTCTGCTATGCCCCTCCAGTGCTCACTGCAACACCAGGCTGTGGGAGGGACGGAAATGGCTAATTCAGACTCTCGACGAATCACTGAGTGGCTGAGTCAGCTACTAGTCAGGCAGCTGGGCAGATCCCAACATTGTCAGGATCCCTGCAAAGTCGTTCTGCAAGCTGTGCTTGCATGGGCACGGCAGCCCATTCCTTTGAATAGGCTGCTGAGCCTGCATTTTATACAGGAAGGAGGTCCCTGCACCTTTTTTTAAATTGCAGCTGCAGGGAAATCACATGGTGCTTCTGCCGCATATAAATTCTCACAATGTATTTTCAGATGCATTGGGGTAGCTGCAAGAATGGCAGCCCTGTCAGTCTGCAAAAGAAAAGCTTTTAAAAGCTGCTCCCCCAAGCTCCCTCTTAAACTCCCACTTGAACCCAGTCTTGATTCAGTTTTGTGCCAATCTGCAGCAGCCCTTCTCCCCCTCTCTCGTTTAATTGAAACTCTGCAGCTGCATCCATGACTGTGGTAGAACCATGTCCACCCAAGTCCGTATAGAGTTGTGCTCAAAAGTTTGCATACCCTGGTAGAAATTGTGAAATTTTGCATTGATATTGAGAATATGACTGATTATGCCAAAAAACAGTTTTTATATTAGGATAGTGATCATATGAAGCCATTTAATATCACATAGTTGTTTGGCTCCTTTTAAAATCATAATAACAGGAATCACCCAAATGGCCATGATCAAAAGTTTACATACCCTGGACCGTTTGGCCTTGGTACAGACACACAAGGTGACACACACAGGTTAAAATAGCAATTAAGGATTATTTCCCACATATGTGGCTTTTTAAATATCAATTAGTGACTGTGTATACTTAATAGTAATGGGATTTAGCGCTGCTTTTTATTTTTAATTAAGTGTGCTTAAAGTGTTACTAAACCCAGGACCCTGCATTCACTATATCTGGTCTCCCACAGTACACACAACTTGGAAATGCAATTATTTTAGTAAATATAAACTGCTAAATATCTTTTCTCATCAGCAGTTACATCAGTCTTGTGACTTCTATCAGTGTCCAGCAGAGGACTGGTTAAAGCTTGTAGGTAGAGTTTTCATTGTCCTCTCAGTGCCCTAAGATTGCATAACCCCTGACCCTCTGAACAGTGCTGATTGGCCCTATGCTGATCACATGCACCCTCCCAGGAAAAAGAAAAATCTCTCTAGCAGTACACGCCAAAGCTGAGCATGTGCAGAGTGTCCCCGAGGCTTTGTTCTGTCAGGAGATGAAATGGGGAAGGATTAGAGAACACAGGATCAAACATCCTTTTTACATAATGCAGAGGATTAACCCCTTAAGTTCCACACAGTGAGTATAACAAGCTTGCGTTACTGCATATACAGACTGATTTTACTGTTGTGGGTTTAGTAACACTTTAACATTCTGTATGTGAGTAAAAAAAAAAAATATCCATATAATACATATATCAAAGAATAAAGTCCCAAAGTGAACAAAATATAAAGGCAAAGTCCTTTCACAATCCAAATATTATGAAGAGTGTCCCCACACTTCAACATCTTAATGAAGTGCTCATCCTCCACCAAGTGACACCAGTAGGGAGCACGCTTGATCGTAATGGGATTTAGCATTGCATTTAGTTTTTAATTGTTTCTAGCTATTGGGATCACAATTACTTAGCGGATGCTTTTTATTTTTAGATAATCCAGCGTGAAAAAAAATTCTTATTTTTATTCTGTGCATATATAGTCAATTAATTTAACTCTCATGTGGAAGAACTGAGCAGACTAGATATTGAGCCATGAGGACCAGAAAAGAACTATCAAAAGACCTGCTCAACAAGGCATTGCAACATTATAAAGATGGAAAACATAACAAGATTTGTGGATCTCTTGATACAAAAAATTCAAAGTCGGCCAAAGTCAGGTACACCAAGAAAGATTGCAGCCACAACTGCCAGAAGAATTGTTCAGGATACAAAGAAAAACCCATAGGAAACCTCAGGAGAAATGCAGGCTGCTGTAGAAAAAAGACAATTGTTGAAACGTGGTTGTTTCAAGGAGCACAATACGATGATACTTGAACAAAAATGAGTGCATAGTCAAGTTGCCAGGAAGAAGCCTTTACTGTGCTAACACCACGAAAAAGCCCAGTTACAATATGCCCAACAACACCTTGACATGCCTCACAGCTTCTGGTACACTGTAATCTGGAATGGCAAGACCAAAATAGAGCTTTATGGTCACAACCATAAGCACTATGCTTGGAGAAGGGTCAACAAAGCCCATAGTGACAAGAAAACTGTCCCCACTCTGAAGCAGGGTGGTGGTTCACTGATGTTTTGTGGGTTTGTGAGCTCTAAAGGCATGGGAACATTTGTGAAAATTGATGGCAAGATGAATGCAACATGTTATCAGAAAATACTTGCAGACAATTTGCATTCTTCTACACAAAAGCTGCGCGTGGGACACTCTTGAACATTCCAGCACGACAATGACCAAAAGCACAAGGGCAAGTTGACCCTCCAGTGGTTACAGCAGGAAAAGGTGAATGTTCAGGAGAGGCCATCAGTCTCCTGATCTTAAAGTGGTAGTAAAGTGGGGTTTTTATGTTTTACCTACAGGTAAGGCTTTAATAAGGCTTACCTGCAGTGACTGTAAATATCTTCTGACCGTTCACCATTTAGGAGATATTTACTTTAGCTGCGCCAATGAGTTCACCGGCACATGCGCACTGTACTCTCAATGGACAGCTGAGGACAGGGGTCATTTCATTTGTTTACTTGTTATGTTTTGTTTTATGATTGTGCCACTCTGTGATGACCTAATGTTGAATATGATTCCCACAAGAAATAAAAGAAATGTATTTTGCCTACTCACTCGTGATTTCTTTAAAAACGATGCATACTATTACCAATTCTCCAAGGGTATGCAAACTTTTGAACACAACTCTATATACGGCCTAAGGGCTAGAAGTCGGTTAAAGTAGAACCGAAGTCAAAACGTATTTTTTAATTTTGTATAGAGTGGAAAGGGATTAGAACAACTGTCAGGTTTTTAGTGCTGTCTGTCCCTGGCAGGTAGATTTACCCTCTCTATTTGGCCTGGTCTCCAAAAGTGAAAAGAAAATCCTAAATTTTGGATTGTCACCAGAACAGGATTAGAGGGGAAATCTTTCAATGGAGCACTAGTTCTGGTGACAACAAGGGATTCATTCACTTTTTGATAGGGTTTTTTCTCACCTCATGTTTTGGGTATTAGACAGGAAGTGAAAGGAAATCTCCCAGTGGGAAACGGCAAAAAACAGAGGTTATAACCCTCCCTTACTCTTCAAAATGGGGGGAAAAAAAGGTCTGCCTTTAATTCTATTTTAATATCAAACTATGCCATAACAAATGCATATTTAGAAAGGTTTAGTAATGGCCATCTACAAACAGATAAGAAATATAGATATAAGCAGGCTTTTTATTCTTTGTATACATTTGTCAGAACTTCCCCATTCTTTTCACACTGGCCATTTTTATTAAAGGCAGATGAAACCATCTTTCTTTGCTTCCTGAAACTCAGGGTGTGTCTCATGCACCATGTTATGGTGCATTCTGTGTAAGGGGAAAGGCACTGGTGACATATCCTTCCCAGGATGCATCTCTGAAGCTAGGGCTACATCGCTAAAACAAGGAAGTTGAAAAACAGTAATTGTAAGTAAAAACAATGTTTAAAATGGACTTAAACTTTGTCATAAAAATGGCCCCTGGGAGCTTTCCATAATGTATTAGTATGCACTGCACGTTATGCAGACTCACCTACCAAATGATCCCTTGCAGCTCTGCATTGTCGGTGTCCTCAGCTGTCATGGGTGCTTCCATCTTCTCCCTGTCATCTTTCTGGATTCTGACTAGTTGGCTGGCAGGCTGTGATGACGTCATTCCTCCGCATGCACACCGGAGTTGCATCATGTTGTCACAGCTGTGTCATAAGTGTGTGTGCATACACGGCTCCGTGTATGGAGAAGCACTTGTGATAGAAGAGACCCTTGTGCTGTTTGTAATTTTACTTTTCATGTGTTACAATATGGAGTCCCCTAGAAATGCAGCTGTGGCTGTACATGGCAAGAAATCAGCTTCTAGCTTTCATTTTCAAAGCTTAACTGAACAAGCTGAATATAGCAGCTGATTGGTTGATATGAACAGTTGCTCCAGATTCTGTCTGCTCCAATTTAGATAAATTCTCCCCAGTGTACAGAAGCTGTTGATGTAGCAGAATGTCAAGTACACTTGTAGCCTTGCATTTCTTGTGCAAAATGTCACTGACTAGTGAGGTTTTTTTATTATGAAAAGTTCTTTTAGTTTTGTGTTGTTAATTGGAAATATATTCAATTTGTTTCTTATCAGGTACGTTTAGCAGCACAATTCATTATCCATGCTCCACCAGGGGAGTTCAATGAAGTATTTAATGGTGAGTAACCCAGTTCATTTAGCAATCTGCTCGCTGCACTCTACTTGTTGACATTTACAGATGAAAAAAATAGGCAGTATTTAAAAATGCTCTGCAGCTCCTCACTGGTTTCCAGGGTAATCTAAATAAAGACTTTCAACAGACAGCTTGAATCGGAAATATTTTTATTTATCTTTGTTTTGGAAAGAATAAAACATAGCATAGAAAAGCACAACATCCATACAAAATGAAATCATGTCCTCCCAAGTAGACCATGAGCAATTATTCCTTTACTGACTGAGGCATTAAAGTGTATGTTACCCCAACAATTCATGTTTCACCCACTGGTGACATTTACCCCTCTATTTGTACTGATGACCATTGTCACTCAGATGAAAAATGAGGGAAAATCGAAAATTGTAGAGTCGTTCCCAGAACATGAAGCAAAGGGAAATCTTCCAATGAGAACAACTAAGAAGGGGATTTAGCCTTCAAGTTTGAGTTTCACTTCTGGTACAGAAAGTAAAGAGAAATTTCCCCATTAGTACACAGACATAATCCGCCAGAGTTCTGGGGTCCCCTGCGGGCGCTGTAGGCCCCTCGTCTTTTGCGAGTGCCCCTATGAAAAGCTGTTAAGCCCCACACGTTTGTCACAGCAGTTGATTTACAGCAGCAGGAACCAGTGACTCCCGCTGCTATTAGTCTGCCCAATGAGGAGGGAGACGGTAGCGAAAGCCGCTGCTCTCGTGTGCATTGCTGGATCATATTAGGCTAAGGTAAGAAGAAAGGGGGTGGGGGGGGGATCCTGCAGCTCAGGTTTTTTTACCTGAATGCATAGAGGTAAAAACCTTTAAGGTTTTAGAATCACTTTGAAGATGTTGCATGCACACTGTCATCAAACTGGGGGTGGAATTTACGAAGTCCGGAGCAGTGTGCATGTCAACCAATCAGCCAAGATTCTGTCTGCTCCAGTTTTAGTAAATTTCACCCTATGCGACGTTTGGCTTTTTTCAGAAGTTATCTAGGCTGCTGCCTGGGATTCTCTAGGACCTTTTGCTTTCAGTTCCTCTGGCTTGTGTAGGTCATACACATGCTTTCTGCACCTCTCCTAGTATGTCATTATTAGTGATGAGCTCAGGCATGACAGGATAACTTAGGTGGGTTTGGACTAGTAGCCAAACACACCTGAGCTCACCTTGCCCCTACATCAGAATAAACTACAGAGACTTACTGCACAGAACAAAGTGGTCTCTCCCAGTCCTGCTTTGTGGTGCTCTTCTCATTTGATTGGCAGCTGCTTGCAGCAAAACAAAAAATTGGTAGCTCATAAATGAGCAGAAGAGGTAGGATCTGGGATGGGTAAAACCACCGTTACATGGCTGTTTCCTGGCAGTGAGAAGTTTCTACAGAGAACCTTCTGTAAGGCATTGACTACATCACTTCCCTCAGATGGTAGCACCCTTTCATCACCTCTCTCTAATGAAGAAGAGACTTTGGAGAATGTGAAAGTGATATGATATTAAAGGCTTTTTTTTTTTTTTTTTTTTTTTTTTTAAATAACAAAATGTCATACCTTCTTTGTGCCAATGGCTCCCCCTGTTGTGTCCCAGCCAATGAGAGGGAGGGACCTGGGACAGCTGAGAGGGGGCTCAGGTGAGTATTGGGGGGCTATAGGGGGAGCAGCACACAGAAAATTTTTTTTTATCTTCATGCATAGAATGCATGAAGGTAAAAAACCTTCAGCCTTTATAACCACTTAAATAAGTAAGCTTGCATGCACAGTTTTTAATGTTATGTATCAGTGTTTGCATTTTATAAAATATATACTTTATGATCAATCTGAGCTTATTAAAATTTTATAAACTGGACAGAAAAAAAGGTATCCACATAGACAATAACATAGGTAAGATACAAAACCGATAATACAGAATTGGGGTTAAGAGGGGAAAAGAGAGTGAGGAAAAAAACAAACAAACCACAGATGGACAAAAAGGGCGAGTGTCACGGTGTGCCTTCACCCTCCCCCCTCCTCCCCCCTTGCCGCGTCCTCATCCTGCACACAGCCTCTGAAGCCAGGCTGTCCGGGATGGGGAAGGGACCCCTGCAGTGAGGGTCACAGCTCATCCGGCAATCTAGGCAGAGGAGCTGTGTAACCCCCCCCCGCCAGGAGACCCCAACGGCAGACCACCGAGATGTCTCTGCGTGCCCCTGGTGTACGCAACGCGGGCACAGGGGTTTTCCATGCTCTGCACCCTCCAGTGACAAAGGCCGCACTCACGAGAAGCGCGGCACGAGTCAAGGGGGCGGGCCTCGTTGCCCCGGCAACGTGGTGCTGGGCCGGCCATTGCCGGGGCAACCCTGAAGCGTCCTGGGAGCTTTAAAAGGCCAGCGCGGGAGCCGGCCGGTCTCTTCCTCCTGCTGCTGTCCCTGGGGCCACCGCTGTCGTGGGAGGTCCGGGTGGGCACTGGGCCTCAGCAGCCATCCCCGCTGAGCGCTCTGCATGAGCCCCCCTCCTCAAAGGTCAGACCCCACAGCCATGACTCCCGCTGCTGTTCCTGGCAAACTGGCCTCTCCGGGGGCCCCTGCCTGCTGATCGCTGGGCCCCTGGAGAAGCTGGCCGCTGTGAGAGCCCCTGCCTGCTAATCGCTGCTGTCCCCTGAAAAGCTGGCCGCTGTGGGGGTCGCAGTTTGTTGCTGAGGGTCCCTGGGAAGCCGCCCCTGTGTGCTGATTGCTGGGCCCTGGGAAGCCGCCCTGTGTGCTGATCGTTGGGCCCCTGAAGAAGCTGGCTGCTGTGAGGGCCCCTGCCTGCTAATCACTGCTGTTCCCTGAAAAGCTGGCTGCTGTGAGGGCTGCCATCCGTTGCTGAGGGTCCCTGGGAAGCCGCCCTGTCTGCTGACCGCTTTGTCCCTGGAAGCTGCCTGCTGTTGAACAATAGTAAACGGCAACATTCTAAAGCTGGATATCATCAATTACAGAACCCAAAGTTAAGTGCAAGTAGCCTATCTGTACAAACAAAGCCAGACCCCTAGGGTAATAAAGGCACAAAGAATATCAAAAGGGGGGGGGGGGGGAACGAGGGAGCCCACCATCAGCAATCAACATCCCCTCCTCCTCATCAATCGCCCAGGAAAGGAGAAAGAAAGAGAAGAAGAAGAAGAAAAAAAAGTGAGAGGGAAGGAGTGAGAGAATAAGATTAGACTTGCCTGAGGGAAGGCGCCTAGAGGAACAACAAACCAGCAGTTACCGAAGAGGAAGGAAAAGGAGAACTCCTGTTCAAGCAGCCAAGAGATCGCAAAGTGCGGAGGACTCTGTAGATATTCCAGGAGAGCCAGGTCCGACAACAGCGTTCAGAGGTGCCCAGTTCCTGCCCAAGAGCGACTCCATTTATTCAGTATGGTCCATCTCCTCAACCTACTCTAGAAGGGTTGGGACACAGCACGTTCTCCAATGGCAAGGTATAACCAGTCTGGCAGCCATCAGATGATGGTGCAGAAGTCTGCGTTTAATATGTTTGAAAGAGCCAGACAGGATAGAGAGTAGAACAACCTGAGGCATATTTAGGACCGTCTGGTCTGTAATTGTGGTATAAAAGCACAGAACAAGATCCACAGAACAAGATCCCAGAAGGCATGGATAGGGGGGCATTCCCACCAGACATGGATAAGAGAGCTGGGGGGCATCATGACAGCACCAGCAGAGATCAGGGGTGGAAGGGAAAATCCTGTGGAGTAAGGTAGGGCATCTGTACCACCGAGTGAGCACTTTGAAATTGGTTTCCTGTACTTTACTGGTCAATGAGACAAATGGTGGGTAAGCGTAAACGACTTCAGCCAGTCCTCATCCAATATCTGATTATCAAGATCCACGGCCCACCTAGAGGCATAAGGTGGAAGGTCCAGATGTCCCATAGAGAGGAGGATCTGATAGAGAGCAGAAAGGGGACGCAGAGGAGGAAGATCACAAAGGAGCAAGGATTCGAGAGGTGTGGTACCCTGGTCAGTAAGTCTACATTAGCAAAAGTATGCATAAATGAGTATAGTTGCCAGTCGTCGGGCAAAAGAGGCCCGACCCAAGGTGCAGGAAAGAAGGAAGATGACCCTGATTGAAGTATTTGTACCAGATGCCTATGGGAGGCCTTGCTCCAAAAAAGGAAATGGAAGCGAGATTGAGCTGGGGTAAATTGGGGGTTTCCAAACAGAGGGGTCATAGGACCAGCTAATGAGGGAACCCCAAGCTTCAGGGCTAAATTGTCCCATTTTTGCTGAAGTTGAGCGGTCAGAAACGGTGAAGAAGAGGCCGGACTCTGAAATTCAGGGCCCGTCCAGGGAAGAGCTAGGAGATCACACGGTGCCAGGAACTGTTGCAGGGAAACGCGGTGGAACCAGTTTATCAGTCGAGTGAGGACTGCCGCTGTATGATATTAACGCAGGTCAGGTGCCCCGCCCCTCTGCTTAGGAAGTGTTAGGATCGTTCTATGTAGTCTCGGTTTCCGAGGACCCCAAATAAACTTCGTAAAAGCAGTTTGCAACGTTCTTAACCATTTGCCGCCCGGCCAATGGCCGTTTGGCGGCGGCAAAAGTGCTTCTGCATTCCGGGTGCACGCCATTTGGCGTGCTCCCGCACATGCTCAGTTCGCGCAACTGCAGAGCGGCTCAGCAGCGCGATCTGTCACCGGCCGTGTACCTCGGACATGGCCGATGACAGATCCGAGTACCGGCTCCCGTTGCTGGTACCATGTGACCTGCTGTGACCATTCACAGCAGGTCACATGACAGTTGTATACAATGGATGGCTTCATTCATGCCATCCATTGTATACTAGTGCCTAGCTGTGAATGGTCACAGCAGGTCACATGCACATGTCAAAAAAAAGAAAAAAACTGAATCGATTTCATTCTGGTAAATGTTTGCTTATAGCAAAGTAATTCTTTGCTATAAGCAAATTGTGTAAAAAAAAAAAAAAAAAAAAAAAAAAAAAATACTGATCACTTCCCCAAAGTAGTACAGTGTTACTATGGTAAC